TAATTTGAATATCTTAGGTATGTCAGGAAGACATTTGATGTCTAATTCAACATGAAAAGACACCTGTCAAATATTTTTTGTAAACAATGCAATTATCGTTGCACTGTAATTTGTCGATAATTGCACACTTCAAACGGACAGGTTATCATACGAAGAAAATATTCAAATTAATAGTTATTTAACCGAAAATAATTATATATAGGGTTATTTACGTTAAGTGTCCTATTAGACGTTTGTGGAAAATATTACAAGCCCATACACATAGGGGTAAAACATTTATTTTCATAGACAAAAATATAACTTGAAATACAAAAACGTCATTTGTTGAATTAGTAAAACATTTAAATTGTTTTTAGATAATAAAATTGAAAAACAGGTCGTATTATTACGATATTATTCATTTTATATTTCTTTTACCGTAGAAAAAAGCATTTAGTTCTCCATTTGAATGTGTTACGCGCTAATATATATCGTGGGTTTAGATGAAGATGCTATCAAGCAATGCATCTACAGTTACTTATGTAATTTTCAAATACAGCAATAGTAGTTTTTGATACAAGGGCGAAAAACGTATTTTCGCTGCAATAAAATAATTCAGCAGAAAAATAGACCATTAGAACGAATTTGAGACTGAACTCGTAACAAAGTTATAATTTACAAATTGTAAGTAAACTTTAAATTATGATCAATAGTTGTCAACCAACAAGTACGTACGTACCACGTAATTAATTAAAAAAGCGTGTCGGTTACTTTTGAATGAAAATCCTTTAAAAAATATAATGACAGTAATACCTTCAATTTGTCACATTTACTTTTGCGCACAGATGCGCAAAAGTCCTTGCGTAAAAGTAAAACAAATGAACATTAAAGAAACGTGCTTCTTTATGATTATCGCTTCTGAACGAAAAATTGCACTTTTAGGTTCATTCGAATAAAAATATATGTAAGTTTATGATTTGCTACAATATAATCCTGGTCTGATTATTCTCACTAATTGGAATGTACCAAAACTAAATATATTATAACATAACATTTTTATATAGTCTAATGTAAACATTTTTTCGTTTGTATTAAATATAGGCCGTTGAATTTAAAGTTCCTACGCAACATGATTTTAAGTTCTCCGAAACGCAAATTGGTTTTTTACAACTAATTTTTTAACAAGAAATGAATTCGTTTGCATGATATAAAATGGTCAAGAAGATAACACGAAAGAAGCTTCAAATAGTCCAATAATGTTGCAAGCTACAAACTAATAGGTGGCCCGTTAAAAAAGTTCGCTTACATAAATCCTAAAAGCGAGATTCTATATCTAGAGTGAGTTTTTTTCGATGACTGGTACCGGAATCTTGGAAATTACAGCAGATACAACAAAGTTTAAAGAGACTAAGAATTGTGGTTTTAAATTCCCTACTTGAAACCAATCATATTTTTCCAAAATTTGACAGCTGTCAGGAGATATGTGAAAAAAACTGATTTATGGCTGATTTTTAAATGACTCCTACTTCATTAAATAGAAAGTTGTTAAAAATTTGCGAGTTCAACTACCGATGGTGGCGCTGCAAAACGTTGAATTACTTGTTATCGAGTGACAGTCGGAGTTATGGAAGGCTGAACAGATTTTTCTCGGTCACGGCGAGCCGTAA